ATTAAAGCGTTTCATAAAAAAATACACCTAAGAGAAGCTTAAATTGTGAAATTAAAGGAATTCAACGTGCAAAGAATTTGCTTAAAATAATGGCGGATAAAAATATGTGCATAATTGAAGACGACGAAACATATTGCAAGGCGGATTTTTCACAACTTCCTGGTCAACAGTTTTACTATAAAAACAAAGATAAATCTGTCGATGATCAATTTAAATATATTCGACAAGAAAAATTTGCATCCAAGTTCCTTGTGTGGCAAACAATTTGTAGCTGTGGTATGCAGTCCTCTTGTTTTGTCACTAAAAAGACCTTGACTGCCAAACTCTAGACATCAAAGAATAATGTCTCTTTTGGCCCGATCTTGCTGCCTCTCACTATTCTAAACAAGTTCTACAGTGGTGCAAAGATAATAATGTGAAAATTGTTCCTAAAGATGCGAATTCTCCAAATCGTCCTGAAGAACGCAAGATTGAAGATTTTTTGGCAATAGTTAAAGCTGTTCTTCGTAAGACAGGTGGAGTAACAAATAATAAAAAGGACTTCCAAAAAAAGTGGATTAATGCCACCAATATTGTGAAAAAAGAAAAAATCTGTGAAATGATGGCATCAACCCGCTATAAAGTTCGATTTCTTACCAAACAACCCATCAAGCCCCTTAAAATTAAGTTGAAACTCTAATTTATGTAAATACATTTAATAATAATAAATATATATATGTATACCCAACGGGCATTTGTTTTTAAAAGTTACGATCTAAATGTATTTTAAATGTCTTATAAACGTCTTTTAAACATTAATGTTTAAAAGACGTTTAAAACACATTAAGAACATAACTTTTAAAAACAAATGCCCGTCGGATATATATATATATATATATATATATATATATATATATATATATATATATATATATATATATATATATATATATATATATATATATATATATATATATGTATATACAAGACTACACTATAAGGATATATATATATATATATATATATATATATATATAAGACTACACTATAAGGATATATATATATATATATATATATATATATATATATATATATATATATATATATATATATATATATATATATATATGCTTTACATAAGCCATTAAATCTTGTGATATTCTTGTTTTGAAGATAAAAAGTTTTTATCTTTTATTTAATACTAAATAATGTTTTTTAAGATTTGTTGCTATTAAAATAGCCACAAATTAGCTTTGATATTTTTTTAAAATGAAATAAGGTTGATACAACTGTATTAAATATTAATCTTTTTTAATGTAAATATTTAAATATTGCTTCAGAAGAAAAGGTTGATTTCATTGAGTTGAGCTTTAGTAATATGAGAAACTACTCTATTCTGCCTAAAGAAGGATTCGCCAATGACAAGCTCTTAAATTGTTGATTTATTGAAGGTAGTAAATCTCTATATTATAACTAAAGATAAAATCTGATATCATATTTTATCTTTAGTTATAATATAGAGGAAAAGTACTGTAAACCGGACACTCTTCACAAAAAGCTAAATAACTTTTTTTATTTTGAGAATTGGTAGGATTTTTTTTTCAGTTGTTTATTAAAGCAATTCAGTGATGTAAAAGAAAAAAAATTTCAAGTTTCTACAGAAAATAAGATTTTTTTTTTTAAAAAAAAGTGTCCGCTTTTCGGAAAATTGTCCCTAAAAGCGGACAGTTCCAAATTTAATGAAAATATAGATAAATTGATAAATTCAATATTTTTATTTTTATTGTTGAAATATACACATAATAATACAAACAGAAAAAACTAGAAAAAAACAAATAAAAAAACATCTGCAAGCTTGAACCTGAAATAAAAATGAAAAATTTATAAATTAGGTTCTGCAACCTGTAGTGCAAAAGAATTTTTTGCCTTCTATATATCTTTTTGGGAGACAAGGTTCACATAGCCACAAACTGCAACTTGATTTTTCACAAGTTTTCCACAAAACTTTCATATCTGGCTTTTCATTTTTGAAAAACTATGGGCGCGTTTTGCACTTTTTGTACTTTTTTTTTGGCTTTCTTGGCAGGAGTTTCTACTTCTGCTGTTGCAAAATCAACATGTTCGTTTTAATAGCTTCACACCTTCTTCTTCTCTTAACTTGTTTAACCATGCTTCTTCTAAAAAAGGTTGACCAGCCACTGTTCTAACATTTCTGCCTTTTTTTGATAGGATTTTTGTAGGCGTTTTGGAATTGAAATTGCTTTAAATCAGCTCTTTTAAGACTTTTACACGAGTCACTAATTCTTCTTGAGAAGTTAGATTTAAAGTTGAAATTGAAGTTGGAGTTGCTGGCGGAATTAAGTTACTTTTGGTATGCGGTAGAATTGAGCTTAGCCTCTTAAGCTTAACTTGCCATTTTCAATCTTATTCAATGCGTTTTTTATAGTCTCCTCAGTGTTAGGCTTCTCGGTTGTTTTATTTTTTGCCATTTTTAAGTTTAGTAAATTCAATTCAGTTACAGGTTTTTCAAATTGAAGAAACGATGCACTTCTGTGGTTACTTTGTGTACTTTTGCACTCTAACTTCAACAGTATAAGTACAAACGGACAAAATTTATTAACACAAAAGTGAAAACTTAAAAAAACCAAATGAAAAAAATTCAGTCAGTGTGAAAAAATAATAAAATAAATTAACTTTACCATAATAAAAAAAACTTAATTAGTGTGAAAAAAATAATAAACAAAAAAAATAACAAACATAACCTATTAAATTTCAATTTATTATAGGGTGGATTTATTGTGTCCGGTTTAAGGTGAAAACTAAAGAAAATCTTAATTCCGTCATAACTTTTTAACGGAGTAAGATTATGAAATTCTAAAACTATTTTTGAAATTAGCAAAAAATTTCCAACAAAACTTCCTTTGTTTTTAAATTGCCTTTTTAAATCTTTCCAAATTTTCCAATAAGTTTGATTTTTAGAATCAGATTTTGTTTGAACTTAAATATCTTAATAAGCTAATCATCTGAACAATTTTTTTTTGAAATTTTATAATTTTCCAAACACTAAAAATTAAAAACTTTTGCAAATATCTTTATTTTTAGTGAAGATATTTAGTTTTTTCGATAAGTGTCCGCTTTTGCGCACTGTCCGGTTTGTGGTACTTTTACTCTATTATAGCAAAAGATATATTTTTATTTATAATTTGTAAAACTTTTCTTGATTCTTTGTAATAAACATCTTCGGAAGAAAATATTTCAAATAGAAAAACATTTATATTTCTTCGAGAAGTTCCAAAACCAAATATGTAACATTTAAGACGATGCATTTGCAAAAATCAAAGATAAATCAATGATCTTCTTGTAAATATTCTTCTTAATTTGTTTACAAAAAGTGTGCACTCATTGATAGGCTGGGCTCTAAATAAACGCTAGAAATAAGATAAACAATAGTGCTCTTAAACTGGCTAGACTGTATTTTATGACTATAGTAAAAGCTTTTCTTAGACAAAAAGAAAACATAACGCATAAGGGGCCATCCATAAAGTACGTACGCAGGTATGGGGGAAGGGGAGGTTTCCCAAAAGCGTACGAACGCGTACAAGGGGAGAGAGGTGTTAAAGACACTGAATACGTGCGCGGTTTGACTATCTCTCCTAAACATGATTTTATTTTTTTTTAATTTTGAATTTCATGTGTTTAACAAATCAGAATTGTGTTTTTTTTTCTGACTTCAGTTACAATTTTTGTATTATTTATTTATAAATAATGAGAGAAAAAAGAAATGCGTACGTAGGGGAAAGCAGGGCAACATGGCGAACGTTTTGAAAGCCCTGAGTTGTTGCAAAACAATAAGTCGTGAAGACATAATACTTTCTCAGTATGTTTATGTTATTAAATTCTTTCATTGTCTGCATGAATTTTTAGTTTGCAAATATAACAATTTGAAATAAATATTAAAATAAAAAGTTCTTAAATTTGTCATCTGGTCACGTGACCGGGGCAAGATGACTTATGCAATTTTTACCTCCAATTTTATAAAAATTTTAAAACTACCAATAACTCTAATTAAAGTAACAAAAAATAAAAAAAAATTGCAAAAAACTACTTCTAAAGAATTTATACTTGAAGGACACCATCCATTATGAGAAACCGAAAGTGAGGAATTTTTTTTTAGGCGCTAAAAGTAAACTTGTGTGTATAAAATTGCGTTAATAATATTTCAAAAAGCCAATTAGTGTTTTAAAATACAAGATGCAAATACAGTTTCGTTTTCACCCAGTTTTAAGATTTTTTGTTGAGTTCTTATATGAAAACCCATCTTGCCCCATTCGCCATGTTGCCCCGCTTTCCCCTACGTAGAAAAAAAAGTTATGCGTACGTACGTGGAAGGGGGGGGCGGGGGTCTTCGAAAGTGTACAGGTTTGTACAAGGGGGGAGGAGGGTCTTAAATCAGTGATATTACTGCGTAATATCAGTGGTTTTACAACTGCGTATTTTACTGCGTAAAATCAGTAATTTTACTGCGTACGTACTTTATTGTTGCCCCTTAAGACATATTTTTTACTAACATAACGATAAACATAAAGCTAAATTTTTCACTTAGTAATGTAAGCGTTATGTTAGCGTTATATTTTTTACAGTTTATTACGTTTTTATTTTTATTTATACATATTTAAATTTATTTTTTTTACTATAAAAGTATATTTTTATATTTAATTTTGTTATTTTTATTTATTATGTATTAAATTTTATTTTTATTTTCATCTGTTTACAAAAACGGTTAATTACAATAATATAACCATATTTAAACCTTGCCGTAATCCTAACCCTAAGCCTGACCTTGATGCTGACTCTCTCTCTCTCTCTCTCTCTCTCTCTCTCTATATATATATATATATATATATATATATATATATATATATATATATATATATATATATATATATATATATATATATATATATATATATATATATACATATACACACACGCCACATAATCTCAAAAAAATGCTTCTTTAGACCATATTTCGACCAGAAAGCATTCTATATAGATTGTTTGGAGGTAAGACTAAATTATTTGTTAATTATTTTCTTCAGTATAATTTTTTCTTACTGTTGCTTTGTTTTTTATTAATTTTTATTAAAAGTTTTTTAAATCTGATAATATTTGCTATAAAAGAATCAAAAGGTACTTGTTCAAGAGTTAGAGAGTTCGTATATTGCTGCAAAAGAAAGATATTCCAAAAGTCTACGTGAACTTGAAAATATTAGTGAAGATATACATCGTAAAAGAAATCCCGCTGTGTTTCGTACTAATATACGAGACGAATACGTTAGTTCTGAGCGCAATTCGATTCCACGACTTCTTTGCAAACAACTTTCAGAAGGCTGCTCTGTAAAACTAAACGAACCGCGAAGACTTAACACTCGCACAACAAGTCGCTCTTCTTTTAAGTTGGATCTTGATGTTGATTTTGACAGTAATGCTATTGATACTGGTATTAGTACAAAAAGTCCTTCAGCTAAAAGCGTTGATATTGGTATTTTGAATAGTACGAAATGCTATACAGACTTTCAATTGCTTGATGTTAAAAAACTATTTGATCCAGAATGGCGACGAAATTCGAAAACAAACTTTTTATCTCAATCTTATAACATTTCGTAAATAAAATTGCATAAAAAATAAAAACTCAACATTTTTGTGATGTAAAAAAACTTATCGGATTTAGCTCGACCATCATCGATAAGTATTTTTTGATTAAAAACTTCTCATGGACTGAAGCAAAGCAACATGAACTTAACGTTTTTAAATAATTTAAATTTATAATGTAATATATACAAAGATGCTTTAAGAAATCAGAAAATATTTTTTTGCTTTAAAAATACACTATATCTCCACGCGTCATTTATCTTTTGATAAAAACTCTACAACTAGGGATAGTAGAGTAATCGGTATTTCAAATTAATCAATTAACGATTAACTTTTATAAAATTAATCGATTAATTTTTACAAATAAATTCTTACAGTTTAAAAAAAGTAAATACAACTTCTCGTGATTTTATTTCTTTTTTTTTTTCATCAGATATCTTAAAAAATATGTTATTAACAGTGTCATCATATAAATTTGTTTTTAATTTAGTAATAGATAAACCTGCAGCACTAAAACTTCTTTCTGCCTCTGCAGAAGATGGGGGAGGGGTAAGAATGTAACCTTTGTAAACCTTTTTTAAGGAGTTAAGCCTTTTTCCAGTGCTTTTTTCCAGTACTGATATTTCTCGTTCAATACAAGACAAAACCTATGAGGGAATGACTTACTAGTTTGTCCTTTATTTCTTACTGTTGTTGAACTTATATTAATTATACAGACCACACCGATAAAACCACAGATATCCACTTTTTGAAAGTTTCAAGTTTTATATATTTTTATGATATTTGGTATTATATATTTTTATGATATTTAGTACTAAGCTATTTTAATTTAAAAATTCCTAAAAAAAAAAAAACTATGTTTTTATGTTCTATATTCATTTAAAAAAAAGGGCAATATTTACCGGATAAAATCACAGTTGTCCAAGTTATTTATAACTAAACCAATGATAATAAAAGCGTTAGTCACACGATTAACTTTTATCCTAAACAAAAATACGTCGATGGTGTAAACATTACGTTCACAGAAAAAAAATATATATATATATCCTCAAGATCTAAGATAGAAATATCATGTAAGAAGACAATGTAACTGTTTTGGTTTTAGGATCGTCCATAAATTACGCAACACTAAATTTGACTAACAAAGAAAACAAATAATATCAAAAGTTTTCCTTCGCAGATCTTTAATTAAACCAAAACTCAAAAAAAAAAACTTAAAACTAGTTCTATAAGTTCCATGAAAATCGCTGCTCAAAAAAGCTAACGAATTCCTAATCTATTTTTAAGATAACCTTGAAACGCAGTTTGATGTACCTAGTGCAATCAGACTAGTTAATGTTTATAATTTCTATAATCAATTTTTGTTGTCTTAATATATATATATATATATATATATGTATATATATGTATATATATATATATATATATATATATATATATATATATATATATATATATATATATATATATATATATATATATATATATATATACATATATATACATATATATATATATATATATATATATATATATATATATATATATATATATATATATACATATATATATATATATATATATATATATATATATATATATATATATATATATTACAATTTCTACTCTATATTTTTTATTGACTATTGTTATTTTGTTATTTTTACTAATATTTCCTATTGATATCTACTTTTAATTTTTATTATTACTAATACTAATATTGTTCTTATTATTATTATTGCTATTGTTATTATTGTTATAACATCGTTATTTATATTACATCGTTATTTTATGTTATAAAGTTTATTATCGTTATTATATATTGTAAAAATTGGCATTATATTATACATTAGTAGGTATTAGTAGGTAAACACCTATATTAGTAGGTGTTTACTTTATATTAGTATATTTGCTATTTGTAAACATCCTTGAATGTAAAACCTTAATTCAGAAATAAATGATTGATTGATTGAATCATATTCTTATTATTTTCGTTTATTCATTAATTAACTAACAATTAAGTTTAGTGTAAATATAGGTATGACACTTAGAATGTGACATACATGCCATTGTGAATCAAAAATTTTTCTAGTGGAAACATTAGACAATAGGGGGAGTTTTTTCCAGAGCTCTCCCAAAAAAATATAACAATTCAATATTATGATACATGAAAATTTTCTAAAATTTGCACAGTTTTAAAGCCAAACTTCCTGGTTGTTTGTTCATTTAAGATATGTTCACTTAGAGAAATCGGAGTATTAAAGGCTTGTTAAAAATTAACTACATGGAAAACTAGAAAAATTTATATTTTATGTGTTACATCCAGTGGCTATTTTACAAATAAAATGAGGGGGGGGGAGGGGTGAATCTTTTAAAAGTACTGACTGGCATAAAAAAAATTAAAAAAAATAAAAAGGTACTCGAAACTAGAATTTATCCAACTGAATTGGGTCAAATACCCAACTAGCCGACAAAACTTGTTAAAATAACCGATTTTTGCTTGAAAATCACCTTCTTTAAAGGTGGGGGTGGGGGATGGGTGTAACAACCTCCCACACACAACCTCCCTTCCTCCGTAAAATTGCCTCTGGTTACATCCCATATGTTTAGATTATAGATCAAAGTGTCTGATAAACTGAAACAAGCATACATAGCTCTGTCGCCTCTTTCATGTTAAATATTTTAAGACTTATTGGAGTTAAACATTTTCTAAGTGAACAAAATAAGACATTATTTCATATTATTTTGAAAAATCAGCGGCCTTGTTTGTCGAGGTTCGTGTTTCGGACTTATAGAGGTGAGAGAGGGTTCTAAAAAAAACATGTATATTCCTACCCATCATTCTTATTTTTAATATACGTAATGAGTTCAAAAAACATCGTTGTATATATTTATTATGGCACATTTCGTAAGTTTATTTCCGTTAAGAATTCTTTTGTATGTTGTGATCCGAAATACTTTCGTTTCGAAAGAAATTTTATTTTTTATCAATATTTCTAAAAATAGAACCGTAAAAATTTAATAAGTTATTTTACTGAAAATAAAAATTCATTATAAACATTTTGGGATTTAAAGATGTTAGTTTTTACAATTAAAATCAGTCTGGCAAACAAATTTTCTTTATAGACTTCAAAACGTCGTTTGGCGAAAATGTTTGTTTCGCAAGTGCGACTTCCGAAACCGCTACTTTCGTATGTTGCAAAATAGTTTTGTTTCGTATGTCAACTTGCGAAATGCTAAATTTCGGAAAAGGCTTTTGCGAAATGAACATCGGCGATTTTAAATGTTTTGTAACATTTGGTACGAAAAAATGTAATTCCGTGTTCTCAATCTCCTTACGAAAGAATGTTGTTTTTCTGGAATTGCACGAAATCCTCCGGTTAACAACCCTAATCGAAAATACGTCTTTTTTGTTTTTATCTTGTCATAAAAAGACATTAAAAGTGCATCTTTAAGATGTCTGTTTATCGCTTGTGCACTTCTAAAAAAGTTTTTTCGCTCGGGGTCAGAATGACTTTTTTGTCATACTTATTAGTATACTATAGTATCCTATACACTATAGTATTCCTACTTTTCTTATATGAAAAGCTGTTTTTATCAAATAAAAATGATAATTGCTCTTCATACAAAGTATGACCAAAGCTCTTTTCGATGCCGAGAAAAAAACCTCTATTAGATGTCAATACAAAAGTGGAAGCATTTTCTACATCTTTTATATGTTTAAATATAGATGAATAATTTATAAATAAAACAACATTATTGTTCAACAGAATATTTTTTCATCTTTCTTTACTATTTTTTGAGCGAGCTCTGTTTCTTAGAGTTGTTGAACAAAACTAACTATTTCACGTCAAGAAATCCGTTTATACGAGCTGGTTACGACTTCAGGCTGGTTACGACTTTTAAAAAACGAGTGAACATTAAAAACAGTTTATTGTTTGAAAGTAATACAAAAAACCAAATGAAACTTGATTAGCTGAGTGGAACACATGAGGCGTACCGACTATTAATTCAAAAAGGGCTGATCCTTTTAACTCTCTCATGTTTCTAGCACGGTCCTTTCTTTTTGAACCCACTAGGTTAGATTGGGATAGAAGTCAAACGGTAAACAGTCTAAAAATGTATAAAAATAAGTGTGCTAAAGAAATTTACGACCATCAAAATGACTGTACAATGATGTATTTTGTTATGCAGTACTTAAATCAAGCTAAACATTTGCACCTCTCTGATTTTTTATGAAAGCCAAGTTATTGAAAACAGATATTGATATTTTTCTGCCTTCTATGAAAGCCAAGTTATTGAAAACAGATATTGATATTTTTCTGCCTTCTATGACAACTTATTAATTGAATTTTGATGAAATTAGGTGTTGTAGATTCATAACAATTTAAAAATCCGTAATTGACTAAAGACTATCAAAACAAAAAAATAATTCAGCTAATTCACCTTAAGAGTTGCTATTTATTTAAACTGGATAAAAGTATTAATCAAAGCTCTATTTTAGCCTGAAACATAATGATGCTTTACTTAACAACATAAAATCATAAAAACTGGCGATACCATTAGCAACACAGATGAAATACACATAAACAAAAATGAAGACTAGAAAGCTGCAAGATGTTTAGATATATGAAAGTGTACCTATCCAGTATCATTTTCACTTAGTTTTTTGTATCCAAACCAGAAGTTTTGCAAACAGTTCTAAAGATAAATCTGTTGTCATTATGTGCAATTTTTTACTTGCTTTGTTAATAACAGATAACAGTTAAAAAGGAAATAACACCTTTAAAATAAAAGTTAAAGAGCCAATTTTTTGTATAAACAATTTTAACATTCAACTAAATAAAAGCAACAACATTATTCAGATCATTTAAAAATATGTATAAAAAAAAAATTGCAAGCCTACTGAATGCTTTTTCTTTTCTATAGTTCGTTTCACTAAGTAAATATAGACAGAAATTGTTTACAAGTTTTATATATCATCTGAAAATAAATGTTTTAAATTAATATGTAATAAACAACGTTCTTTAAGCACAACACATTATAAAATTAGTCCAAAAATAAACGGTAAAACTTTTTAAAAAACTTACCTGCAACTAACTTAATTGAGACTAGATTATATCGATACCATTTTACATAAAAAATCACATAAAAAATCACACAAAAAAAAGTTTTACAAAAGTATTTTTTAAACAAAAAACGTGCCAGT